GGGACCAGCTCCACCAGCTCCAGGCTCTCCTTTATCTTCATCAGGATCTCAAAGTTCTCCCGGCCTCGAACCTGGAGGAGGGAACAAGCCCAGGGCTTCGCTTTGCTCCCGTCCCACCTGGCCACCGTCCTCGTGGCCCCGTTTTTCCACCCAGCCGCACAAGGTGCGGCGTCACTGTGGCCAGGGGTCCAGGACTCCCTTGGACACGTGCGCTCCCAGGTGCTTTTGTTCTCTAGGTGTCTGCTCAGCCCCCACTCCTGCCACGCTGCAGGAGACCATGCAACCCCCTCCTGCCCAACATCGCATCCCCAAGGCGTTTCTCGCAGAGGGGACGATGCCGCCGCCACCCCGAGCCGTGCTCTCAACCAGTGCAGCTGGCCAACACTTACAGGCACGTAGTACATCTCCTCCTCCCCGTGCCTCCGCTTCTTCATGCCGGCCCCCAGTGCTGGGATGCCCTGGGGGCTCTGCTTGAATGCTGGAAAGGAGAGGAAAGAGTCAGCATGCCGTCCTCGTCCTCCGAGGGCAGGGCACAGCCCGCAGCACTGCAGCTCCCCGTAGAATTCAAGCTCGAGCCCTGCAGGGTGCCAGCTGCTCACCTGGGCTCTGGCACTGACGACGTCCCCTTATTAGTAATAATAATGAAGAACAAACATATCTGGACGGGAAAGCCCTGCACAAACAGCTTTGCACTCGGGAGGGAAAAGGGAGTGGGTCCTATTTATGAGACTTCACATTTAGTTGAGAAAGGTCAAAGCATCGTGCCTGGATGCAGATTTGAGCCCGAACTTTGGAAGCGCAGTGATTTTGGGTGTGATGGGAAAGGAGCTGAGGTATCCGCCTGGCTTTGCGCAGCAGGGGGGTGCGGGTGCAGGCCAGCAAGGGGACTCACTGCGTTTGTTGGCATTGCCGTTTTTAGCTGCGCTCTCATTCAGGGCTTGTTGCTCTCGGTAATGGTCTTCATCAGCTTTCCGGTCTCTGCCGGGACAGGCACAGATCCGTCCCTCGAACGATCTCCTTCCTAGGACTTGCCCGCTGGGAGGAGAGAGAAATCGGTGACCCTATTTCTGCTTGGGAAGCATGTCATGGCTCAGTCCAGCATGTTATGCTCCAGCTCAGAAACCAGACCAGGAAAATGTCCTCCCGTCCCTCCCTACGAACAGATCGCCCAGGAAGCAGTCGAGCCCCCAAGGCACCGAGCGCAGCAGTCTCCTGGGGGAAGAGGAGCTGCTGGGCAGAGGAAGGCTCCAGCTGCACGGGAAGAAGCGGGCGCTGGGCTGGGTCCCCAGTCCCTCCGTGGCAGCCCTTCTCCTAGGCGGCAAAGAGCCTTTCTC